GTAAACTGCATTTCTCACTGCAGACTGCATACAGAATAGGTTAGCAAGCCAGTGTAAGTTATTTCTTATATTCATAAGGAGCAAAGGATAGCAATTTTGGCTCAGTTCTTTTGAAGGTGTAATGTGTTAATCCCAGGACAACTACTGATGTTCTCTTTACGGTTGAAAATTATTAGTGTCTAGTCTAATAAATATTTCTRGAATAGATGTGTGTACAAAATATACTGTACATGACATTATAGAGTCAACGCACTTGTACTATAAAATATGATAAAAACAAACAGTAGGTAACTAATAGTTTCTATTTTAGTGACTAATAGTTGATATCACTGAACCAGAACAATTCATGAAAACAAAAGGCAATACACAAGAGTGTTAGAGACTTGACAACTGCACAACTTTATTTCATGTTCAATCTTAACTCGATTTGCCATGATATCTTAGTACATTTAACCTCTATGTTTAACAAAGAACTATAACAACTATTGTTTCTTTTCTTTTGGGTGGGACATTTTTTAACAATTTCCTCCTTCCTTATTAGGTAGCTTTTAATAACATTGTGTAGCTTCCAAGACTCTTGTGTATTACCTTTTGTTTTCATTTCTGGTTGAGTGATATTTACTATTACACTATTAAATTACAATTAGTCAGTAAATATCAAAGAATAGTTACTACTTCACGGTACAAGTGCATTGACTGTACTTTAGCTAGAAAAACATGTCTTTATAAAACTTGACTTGGATTGCTTATTTTWCCTTCAAGGACTTTTAATGAAATCAAGTGTTTATTTCTTTTTTTCCAGATATTTCTCTTGATCTTGATGATTTTTCTGATCTCAAAAAGAAAAAGAAGAAAAAGAAGAAGGTGTTTGATATGGAAGGACTAGATACAGCATTATCGGTATGGAATATACCCCTGTACAAGTACATTACTGTAGCTTGTCAAGAGGGTTGTGGATTGTGTACATCACTTTACTAGGTTTTTCAGTTGTTCATACCTTGATTTGTGCTAATTAATCCTGAATTAATACCATACATGTATAATAAAGTCTCTAAGCTTTACAATTCAATAAGAAATAATAAAAGCATTATAGGTACTCTATACAAAAACAACATAATTTACATGTACATTAAAAGGTCTTTCAAATATGAATTGACAAGCACATTCATCTAATAACATCTTTATTCTCATTACTATTTATGTCTGTTTTGTAAGGAAAACACAGGAGAGCCTGGTGATAAAGGAGGCAAGGATGATGATCAGGGTGTTGATGACTTTGATTTAAGTCTTCCTATGAAGAAAAAGAAGAAGAAAAAAAAGGTTGGAATTCACAGTAAAATGATGAAGCAAACTAGGATAAATTGAATACAAACATCTGGTGAAAATGCATTATTAACAAACTGTATTGTATTAAGATCATAGATATCGATGCAGTTCCTGAAAAATCTCCTGAAAATGGTGCAGATTCAGGAGAAGAAGAGGCTGAAAACTATGAAGATATCAATAATGTAGAAGACAGAGACTACACCTATGATGAGGTATTTCAAATCTTCCATAGTCAATTCGTCTTCTTTCTTTAATTCTTGCTTATTGTTTTGCTTCAGCTTTTAGACAGAGTGTTTGAAATTATGAGAGCAAAAAATCCAGACATGGTTGCAGGAGAAAAGAGAAAATTTGTAATGAAACCTCCACAAGTTCTTAGAATAGGCTCAAAAAAGACATCTTTTGCAAACTTTACTGATATTTGTAAAATGTAAGTATTGCACTATATTCAAGGATTATTAATAGACTATGTATGTTGAAATAGATTTTCTACTTGTGGCGTTATCCATGATGTAAAGACCTCTTCTTGTGGGTGTCTATTTGTTGTGGTATTATTCAGTAATTAATATTTCATGGTTGTTTATTAGATTGCATCGTCAACCAAAACATTTATTAGCATTTTTGTTAGCTGAGTTAGGAACAAGGTGAGGACATGTGATATGATTGTATTTACATTTCAATAAGTTATATATAATTAACTCATTGTCGACTGATGTCAATTTGTTGATTTTTGAGCTTTTTNGTCCTTCAAACTCAGATTTTGGCATTCATTTCAAAGCAGAGTCATGTTTTGTGTCTTTTGTTTCCTCGTTGCGAAATTCTTTTAACTGTAAGATCTACAGTATCTACTAGTAAGTTCGTACGAACAATTTCAGGGCTCTAGCTTACTATTTCGGCAACTTATAGACTTTTGACGCATAGGTCGAATTCGACCTAAATTTCAAGGGGCAGACGGGAAAGAGTTAATGAGCTAATAGGCCAATTGGATAAGTCTATTTGGTCACATGTATGAACCATTGTAGGTCTCAGGTTTAATATCTCATTGACCAATGCAGGATTTCAAGAGAGAATAAATGTACTGTGTATCCACAATTGATGGAAAATCACTTTATGCTACAATGTACTTGTTTGTAGTGATTTTTGTTATACTCCATGCTATTTATTTTTAGTAATTCCTGTGTTGTAATGTTTTTATATTTGTCTAGTGGTTCCTGTGACGGCAATAATCAACTAATAATCAAGGGACGCTTTCAACAAAAACAGATTGAAACTGTCTTAAGGCGATACATTAGTAAGTTTGTCAGTTTTGTGTTTACATGGGGGCAGTTTGTCACCAAATTTGGCAACCAATATGAGAATCAAACTGTGTGAAGAACTGTCCTCAAACTGAGAACTTGAGTGGCACCATGTTGTCCATAATCATAGTAATGTGYTAATGTTGGGAACAATACAGTGCTGTTACACTATAATATAGTGTTCTCAGCAGCTGATGTTGCAATGCTGTCCTGAAACAAGTTGATGAAGAATTGCACATTGTAACAGGGATTGTACTGCAGCATTTTTGTGTGTGTGCTGCATTGCAACAAGTAGTTTCGGTCACTTTTGAAGTGCATTGCAGCAACTTGCAATGGCAATTGCACAGTGTATCACTCCTCCAGCTACCTTTCTTGCAAGATTCCCAGCTTAATATTCCAAGTTGCTGAGGGAATTGTACAGTATAACAACTATACTTTGATTGCCAAGTTTTGAAACAATATCATTGCAATACAAGTTGCTGAATAATTTTAATGTGCAATACTTGGAAGTTACTACGGCATGCTTTGAAAAGTAGACTTGAGATCTACTTCATGTGATTGTACATGCCACAAAGCAAAAAATTGCAAAAAAAAAAAAAAAAAAAAAAT